GGATTGATCATTCAAATTTATCACTTCGGGCTCCAGTACCCCTACACTAAAAACAATTCATTCCGATCAGACTCATTCACAGTTCACACTAATCACGACTTAAAAAAAGGTTCCGTCAATTGTTTGTGATTGGTTGAACCAGAACATTCAAAAACAGATGCATGAACCATCAACACTTTTAATTGTACCAGCTCAAACGAACGAATCATTCATGATTGACACATGTCTACTGGATATATTGTCTGGCGTAGGCGTAATGGTAATACCACCATCTATCCGAAGCATAAGATCTTTGTGGATTACCTCACGCTGCCCCATTCGCAACAATTACATTCATAGAAATTAAAATGAAAATAGGTGTTTTTTTTCAATATAGATTATAAATAATGCTTACCGAAAATCACACTTATGTTTAATTTACCACTGCTTTATAAATCTCTCTGACGGTAATAAACATAGTACGTAATTTGTAAAATAACAGTTATATCCTGTATAACCAGAATCAATTGCAGCTCGTTAGTCTCATAAAACTAAAAAACCGCTCGATTTTGATGAAAATTTTTGTGTTTTTCTTTTAAATAGAATAACGGTGACAAACGAGCACATACTCCACCTGTTGGTAAGTGGATGCTGTGGCCTATAGACATCTACATTTAACCTCGATTAAGAAGATGTGTTGTCACCCTTGAGGACTAAGATGGAACGCCTCGTTTCCAGTAAAAAGGAGTCTCCGGATCTCTACACTCACAATACGAAACACAGCAATATTAAGTTGCTGTTTTATGATAGTATTCTGTGAGAGAGTGGTCCTTCCGCGGTCGAGCCGACCTATTCGTGCTACAACCATAATGTAACTGTTGCGTGGCTCTACCACGTTATACGTGTGTGTTTGAATGGGTCCCTAAAGGGTTCACATTTGGACCCGGTAGGTGCCGTTGTTGTAGATGTTCAGAAGTCACCCATGCGAAACAGGGTGGATCGCTAGTTTTAGATAATCAACGATAAAAACCGTATTAGGACTAGCTTGTTAGGAATCACCAATTATAAATTTAAGGTCCCGTTTTTTACTTTTAATGTACAGAACTCAAAAAATCATCATATGATAAAAATAATCATCATATCATACATGCAGCATTTTAAGGTATTGGCGATAACATAATAAGGTTAACAACATAGTTTATAAAGTAAGAGGCTATTGATGTTCCATTACGCTCAGTAGCCCGCCTCTCATTACTGTCAGGGTTTTGGACACAGAAAAAAGTCTTCCCTGCTGTACTAACATGCGTTAGAGGACATTACATGGCCACAAAATAAACGTATGTACTCGTATATTTTCAATTTGTAAGTCGCACGAGCTACCTCATTAAACTTCCCTTTACCACTAAATACGTAGAAAATTTGGGCTTAAAATTGCACATAACACACTCAGTGGTGAAAGCCAAGTTCAAATCCGGTTTGACAGAATTTTATAAAGTTCTAAGACGAGTGCTAAATTCTTTATTCACCATGACTCATAGTTTAGATAATGATAGACAGACGATGTTTTACAAATAAATAATGCTTTGCCAAAATTAAAAGTTCTGGAATAAGTATTTAATAAAAAGCTTTTTGTACAAATTGGTAGTACAGCTCTAAAATTAAAATGTATTATTAATGTTTTAAAAAAATTAAACTTTGGTTACAGTAAATCAGATTATTTGATTTTTATTACATACAAAAATACTCACGCCTGTCACCCAGAGGGGTGGGCAGAGATTATGGATTTCCATTTGGTACGATCCTGACACATCTCTGTCGTCTCCTTTGTATCTTTATATCTACGCATACATTTTTTATTACGTTAATAAGTTAAAGTTACAGCCTATATACGGTCCACCGCTGGGCAACGTCCGCTGCACAGCCCCAATGTGTACTTCACGTCTTAGAAATAATTTTAACTTCCCACTATGAAAATCAATTATTTTCTAAAAATCGGGAAGTTATTATTTTCACCTTGGTTTTTGAAAATCGAGTTCTCATCAGATCTCACGTTAAGCGTGGTAGAGCCATGCTGCAGTTATATTAGTAGTATAGTTGTAGCACGAATGGGTCGACTCGACCGGGGAGGGACCACGCTCTCACAGAATACCAGCGTCAAATAGTAGCTTAATGCTGCTGTGTTTACGGTCCACCGCTGGGAAACGTCCGCTGCACAGCCCCAATGTGTACTTCACGTCTTAGAAATAATTTTAACTTCCCACTATGAAAATCAATTATTTTCTAAAAATCGGGAAGTTATTATTTTCACCTTGGTTTTTGAAAATCGAGTTCTCATCAGATCTCACGTTAAGCGTGGTAGAGCCATGCTGCAGTTATATTAGTAGTATAGTTGTAGCACGAATAGGTCGACTCGACCGGGGAGGGACCACGCTCTCACAGAATACCAGCGTCAAATAGTAGCTTAATGCTGCTGTGTTTCGTATGGTGAGTGTAGAGAACCGGAGACCCGTTGACACACCACGGGTGACAACGCGTCTGCATTTTGATTCGTAATCGAGGATAGATGTAGATGTCTATGGGCCACAGCAACCACTTACCATCGGGTGGACTGTATGCTCATTTGTCACCCTATCCTATAAAAAACATCTCGATGTTTCGAGGTCCTAGGAAGCTATTGTGGCTATTTTTTAGATGATGTCCGTATGTCATATCATAGCCTTATAGCGGAGTGTCCAATCGTGAAGCGGTTTGCGAAACGTAAAAGGGCGTTGCTGAATTTATATCGAATTGGCATGTTAGATTCTGAAAAAACCTCAGAAAATCGAGTTTTTTTTTTAATTTTTAAAAAGATTTTCTTGGAATTACTTCGACACCATTTTTTGATAAATTTTATAATGAAATCAGCTCTTTTACTGAGAAAATGACGTCGATTGCCTTTAACCACATCAAAATCGGTTGATTCTTTCGAGATATATCATTGTCGAAAGAAATCTCGAAAAAGTGTTTTTTCAAAAAAACCTGAAAATTTTTCGTCAAATTAATTTTTGTGATAACTTTTTTGTTAAGCTTAAAACCTGCGTCGATTGCCACAAACCTCATCGAAATAAAAAAAAAAACAAAAGAAAACGAAACAAAAGTTAAATTTTAATCTATGGTGGATTAAAATTTAACTTTTGTTTCGATCTACACAGTATGAACTTATCGTATCTAGAAGTTTTGCAGTTGTATGCTTGGGTTGAGATTTGGGTTGGGACCCAGCCATATTCTCTATTGAAATTAGGATGTTTTTTGATCGCGAATCATCCTTTGAAGAAACCGGTGTTCTTCAGCGAGGATTTGTGGTCTATCAAATCTGATGTAGTCACTACATCAGATCAAGGGCGATCCTGCATGTGTTCACAGACTGCAGACTTCCCGGAGCGTCGATTCTTCACATCATGTGAAGAATGTCGGGTATTTAAAAAGTTAAATATACGCAATAAAATCCGTAAAAGCTAATATTATTTAAATGTGTAGTGTTCGCCGAAATTTTAGAAATCATTAAGCACCTAAAGTGTTTAACAAGTATTGCAACACCTGATAAAGATCACTAAGTTTAAGTACACGTAATGTAATAAATTAATATATTTTTGTATCGTTAATCTATCTGAATTTTAACTATCATTGAGTTTCTTGCAGCTTGCATCTTGGGCTTAGTTGAAATTTATTAAAAAATAAAATAAACTTATCTTACGCAATAGGTCGTTAGTCATTCCAGACACCTCATATCACAATTGGAGAAAATAAAGACAGTAAAAGTCTCAAGTTTTCTTCGAATTGTTTCCTATAGAGAAAACTTTAGACGTTCGTACAGTTTGTAAGTTAAATAGTGCAAAGTTGTACAACGCCGCAAGCCAGTTTACCCATTGTTTTCTTCTTTTGAGAAAAAACAATCGTTATCATTAACTCTGTTTTTTTTTTACTTATTTTATCCATTTTGATATAAAATATTAATAAGTATAAATGAGTTTACAATCAGGTATACATAATATGATGATGATAAATCAATTTATTATAAAATTTATAACCCCACTAGCATACTCTCGGTATTATTCAGTAACCAACGAATGCAGCTTTGACGAGCATTAAATAGAAGACTCTTATTCTGATCTAAGAATTGTATTTGAAATTAACTGCTACCCGCGTTAGAAAGTTACTGGTAGCCGCGTAAGAAATAATTGCGGAAATATTGTTTTAAATTTGTAGTTATATTATTTCAATAGGAGTGATAACATATTCATTGCAGTTAAATGAATATATAACTTTTAAATAAAATTGTCAGTACTATAGGCGCGCCACTTACTGTAAGTTAATTACACTATGTCTATAACCTTCGCGCAAGTAGAAGCAATAAGTAGAGAAAGTTCACCGCACGCACGATTGGGTCGGCTCGAACGGAGTAGGACCACGCTCTCACAAGATATTAGAGTAATATTACAGCTTAATTCTGCTGTGTTTCATATGGTGAGTGTAATGAACCGGCGACCGTTTTTACCAGAAACGAGGTATTCCATCGCAGTCCTCAAAAGTGACAACGCATCTTTATGTTGATTCTTGATCGAGAATAAATTTGGGTGTGGCCCCCAGCATCCACTTACCATGAGGTGGACAAAAAACGATTTATAGTGTGTGTACCTACCTGCAAGTGAGTTGCGTTGAAGTTGAAAGCTTAAAAGAAGACGTCATAGAGGTCCAAGAGGTCATAATTCAGTCGTTCATTTATTAGAATTTATTAAAGTACACTGCTGACCATATGCCTACCATAGTTTCCAAGCTTTATGCATTAAGATGATGATTGCCATCAACCGCATGGTGATATTGTTTCTCTTACATCACCACTACACATCGGAGGTCGATAAATAATTATATAACTGGACACAATATTTCGTCATTATACAATTATAAAACGTTTTTATGACAAAGGAAGAATCATTTAACAACGGATAATATTCAATAGAAATTAATAGAAACAATTTGTTCAGGTGAACCTGCAATTAGGTCTCGATATGCCCGACTCACAGTCCTCGTTCCACCCGAGCCGCCCAAAATACTGCAAGGGAATTTCTTCTCTACCGCTGAAGACAGAACAGTCAAATTGGAATGTGTGTCAGTTGGTGGAAAGCCAGCAGCTGAGGTAAGAATTTAAATTTTCTAAATTGTTCTTCGATACGCGTAGATATTTTATGTTACTTTGATAAAAACTTTTTGTTATATTTTGTAAGGAAGTTCTGATGAAATGGTTACTATCAAAGATTCATAAAAGTCATTTAATATTTATGACTTTTTAAAAGTATATAAGTTGTTTTTTATATTTTTTGAAAAAAGCATAATCGAAGAAGTAGTCAGGATAAAACATCCTAATTTATAAAGTTTTGTTCCACAAACGCTAAAAACTGACGGTGACTTGGAATTAAGCACTTGGGAACTCTTGGTGCCTAAATTAACAAGTACCTACTACTTAATTACAATTTCTCAGAACTTCTTCCTTTCCCGTCTCAAGTTTCTAAGATTTATTAATTGCCACCCCCGTTTGTTTTCACATTGTTACAATTGTTTATGTGGCTTGAGTTTTTAAAGTTTTGTTACAGAAGATATTTTATATACTCTATTTTCATTTTCAATGGTTTTAATGTTACAATTAACAAATTAAATGTGTTTTTTATTTGATTTCTATACATATAATTACAAAAATGTAAATGTATTAATTAGAAGCTAATAACGAATACATAGAAAGTCCTTAATTACACAAAAGTAATCAATCACTTACTTAAATAAGATAGAGTTAATAGCTATATTTCCCACGGGAACGGATACAATTAGGATTTCAATTGAATATGCTGTCGCGACTCTGCGATCTCCAAGGAGACCAAAGCTTTTAGAGAATCGTAGAAATATTAATGCAAATGCATAGGTTTATACGAAATAATTTATTATGTTCAGGGATACTATATGTGATAATTACTATATGATTCGAAGTAGCACTTCGATAATTTTGTCCAAGCTCTCTATTTATTATTATTCGATTGAAATATATAAATACATGTTTTAATTTATATAACTTTTGATTTTGATCGGTTCAGTAATCTCATGTGAATTTTTACAACATGTGACAATAATTTCAACTTTCTTACAATACCCAATTATTAACCTAAGACTCTTGTAGTACGATGTGTGGGTATGAAAACGTTACCTTTCTCCTCGCAATTATTAACCGGCGATTTAGCACTAAATAGAAGAAAATAAAAAAAAGCAACGCACTTAACTAAAGGCCAACAACGCATGCAATTCCCCTGATGTAGCTGTTGTTCATGGACGGCGGTAGCCATTTACCATTAGGTGAGCCGTTTCATCGTTTGTCCCATCTTCTTTAAAAAAAGAACTTCCAAAAAAACCTATTTTTTTTTTGTAAAATATGATCTCATTATGTACTAAAAATAATGGATCCCTAAGATTCATTTGTATGTTTGCTTAATTTTAATAAAAAGGTTTCGTTATTGCGCAAAGGGAAAACGGTTTAACTTTTAAGTATTTTCTCCTTTCGTTAATGTCATGTGATTATTTCTTCGAAGTTAGATGTCCTATTTTGCTCATTATAATGATAAATCGAATAAGATGTTTGGTCCCTTACAAATTGGAACTAAATCCGATAGAGTAAGCTTTATATATTCGATCCAATTATATCAGCAAAATATTATTCGTATCAATATAGAGAAATTGTTTTTCTCCATGTAGTATTATATTCGAGTCTTATTACATTTTCTGTACAAATACATGATTTATTTATCACGTCAACTTGTACATGATTTTTAAATAATCTCATAAATATAAAAACATTTTTTTCAACACACTTGACATTGTTTTCAACATAATAGGTAATGAAAGTTCCGGAGATGTCGACTTATCTTTACACTCACGTTGTTTTTACGGAGGCTTTAAAACTATTTTTGTTTTAGATTACGTGGGTGGATAGTAATGCTGGAGTAATAACACAAGGAGTTACGAATACTATCGAGCCTCTATCGGACGGGCAAAGATTTACGGCTAGGTATGTGTACTTAGTAATTTGTAAAACTATTTTGTATTAGCATAACAACAATGTTTTCTCTGAATCCGAGATAAGTAAGAAATGTAAATAGGTGACCCATGGTATTTATTTTATCTTACTTTAAGTCGATATCCATGTCTTGGTTACAACAATGACAATATTATACCTCAGCGGTTAAAGTATCTCAAGCTAGCGACAAACCAACAATGGGACAAATAAATAAATAAAATAATGGGTCCTTATATATGTATACCACTATTTATCGGAAGCCATAAAACACTTCTGGCGTTTCTCGTAGTCGCTTCTTATGACACAATTTTTAATATATTGAGATGTTATCACGAAGATCCTGCTGTCCATCACCTGTTTCAATTTCCCTCTGTATCCTTTTATGACACCCACATGATGACATGGGGTAGTGCATATTCTTACACTGCCGCTGGATTATGATTAGGTAACTCGTTGTTTATATTACAACTTGAAAATTAAATTGGCATGTACACGTACTCGTATATGGCACGTAGGTACACGTATATGGCACTTTATAATATAATATATTCCCCGCGTAGTTAATAACTTTTGATTAGACATTATAACTTAGTTTGTAAATTACCCAGAAATTTTTGCCGTGGTAAAACGTACCAGGAGAACATATCAATGTAGTAGTAATGTAATAATTATTAAATAATAGGTACTTACATATTATGAAATTGGCGTTTTGTACGAGAGGAATATAAAGTAAATTTTTTTTTGTAAAATATATTTAATTAATCAAAGTATGCACCGTTGTTATCTATGCACTTTTGACCTCTCATAGGTAGTTCATTGATCCCTTTACTAAAAAACCATGGGGGCGAGAATCAATAAACTCTTTAAAGGTGGTTTGGACAGCCGCATCGGAGTTGAATTTTTTTCCTTGTAAGAAGTTGTCCAAATTCCGGAAAAAGTTGTGATCTGTTGAAGCAAGGTCCGGGGAGTACATATATAGCTCATCTAACTTAGTGGTCGTTTGTGGTGCAGTGTTTGGTCTAGTGTGTTGTCGTGAAGCAGCAGTGGCCTTGAGCGATTGACCAATCTCGATTGTTTAGCAGCTAGTTCTTCTTATATGGTTTGCAGTTGCTGACAATAGATATTTGCCGTAATCGTTTAGCCAGATTTTAGAAAGCTGTAGTGAACGCCACCGGCGCTAGTCCACCAAACACTAACAAGTAATTTTCCGGAGCCAAATGTTCGTTTAGGGTAAGATTTCGCTGGGTCTCCAGGTTCTAGCCATTGCGACGAGCACTCCCGAATATCTTACAGTATCCACTTTCTATCACAAGTAATCATTCTATTTAAAATCCCTTCATTTTTGTGTCAGTTGAGCAAAGCAAAGTACCGTGTAGTGGCGGTTAAGAATATCCACTACCCCATATCTTCCCGTGGGTGTCGTAAAAGGCGACAGTGGGAAACAGGCAGGAGATGGGCAGCAGCATCTTCCTGATATCTATAACTCTACAACAAAAAAACTGCGGTTGCCAACCCGCTCGCCAAGCGTGGCAGCTATGGCAATATACCCCACATAAAGAATTACACAAATAGACGGCCGCCAATCCCCTGCGGCCTCGCTATTCCTGGGCACGGTGGCGACTATGGTAAAGGCGGGGTAGGGGGTGCTAAGAATCACCGGGGGAGGTTCGGTTGCCACATTTTTTATGTGGTAGAGCCATGCTGCAGTTATATTAGATGTATAGTTGTAGCACGAATGGATCGGCTCGACCGGGGTAGGACCACGCTCTCACAGAATACCAGCGTGAAATAGTAGCTTAATGCTGCTGTATTTCGTATGGTGAGTGTAGAGAACCGGCGACCCATTTTACAGGAAACGAGGCATTCCATCTTAGTCCTCACGGGTGACACATCTGCATTTTGATTCGTAATCGAGGATAGATGTAGATGTCTATGGGCCACAGCAACCACTTACCATCAGGTGGACTGTGTGCTCGATTGTCACCCTATCCTATAAAAAAAAACTACGATGACTCGACCTGGCAACATTTAACGCACGCACCCTGAGGACTGACGAGAAGAGCCTGGAGCTGGAAGAAGAGATAGAAAAGTTGCGCTGGAATATTATAGGATTATCCGAGGTCCGAAGAGAGGGGGAGGACACGACGATTCTCGAATCTGGCAACTTGTTATATCACCGGGAGAACGATCATCTGTCCCAAGGAGGTGTTTGATTTATCGTCCACAAGACTCTCGTTAACAACGTTTTAAAGATTGGGAGTGTATCGACGAGGGTTGCGTACCTTAAACTCAGAATCACAAAACGGTATTTGCTGAAGGTCATACAGGTATACGCGCCAACGTCGGAACATCCCGATGAGGAGGTGGAGGAAATGTATGAGGAAATTTCTAGAGCCATGCATTCCTTCAAAACTACGGTGTAAATGGGAGACTTCAACGCAAAACTGGGCACAAGAAGGAACGGTGAGCTGAAGGTAGGGAAATTTGGGATAGGGCAACGGAACCGTAGGGGCCAGCAGCTGGCTGACTTCATGGAGAAAGAGGGACTTTTTAAGATGAACTCTTTCTTCGCAGGCGGCCCCACAGAAAGTAGACCTGGTCGAGCCCCGACGGTTCGACAAAAAATGAGATTGAATTCATTATGATGACCAGACGCCAACTGTTCAGTGATGTCTCATTGATCGCAGGGGTGAAAACTGGCAGCGATCACTGAATGGTTAGAGGCACACTGAACCTAAACGTTAAGTTGGAGAGATCTCGTCTAATGAAGTCAACGCTCCGTCCCTATCGTGCTCTAATCCAGAATCCCGAAACCTTTCAGCTCGAGTTACGTAAACGCTTTCAGTGCCTAGAAGATTGCAATGCAGTGGACGATATGAATGACAAGCTCGTGGAAACTGTCCATGCGGTCGGAGCTAAGTTCTGCAAGACCCGCCACAGAAGAACACAAAAACTCTCCTATCACACTCTTAATCTCATGGCTGCTAGACGGGAGATGAGGCTGTAATCGTTAACAGATTCGACAGCATACAGGCAACTGAACAGACAGATCTTACGCAACTTTAATACAGCTCGTATTTAAGAATAGATCGAACGGAACCAGGGCTTCAAAGTCTTTGCCAGAGATCTGTCTGCCAGTAAGAACCAACTGTCAAAGCTGAAGACTAAGTGCGGCAGCATGGTTTGCGGCATACCTGACATTCTGAATGAGATTGAGAGGTTCTATGGGCAGCTGTACACAACATCGTTGGAGCCACACGCAAGTGTGAGTAACGATCCAAGAGCAAGTCTTATCTGACACTATTCTGATGATATCCCTGACGTCAGTCTGAGCGAGGTGCGAAGCGGTTCAACTCGGCTGGGAAGCGTTCGGGAAATTACGACACATCTTCTCGTCAGGTATAAATCAATCTCTGAAAACTAGATTTTACAACCAGTGCGTGTTGCCAGTGATGACTTACGGATCTGAGACGTGGTCCTTCACTGCTGGCCGTATGAGGACGCTCAAAGTCGCTCAGCGAGCTATGGAGAGGGCTATGCTCGGAGTTTCTCTGCGTGATATTCTCAGAAATGAGGATATCCGCAGTAAAACCAGAGTGTCCAACATGGCTCAACGGATTAGTAAGCTGAAGTGACAATGGGCCGGACATATACCTCGAAGAACCGATAACCGATGGCGAAGAAAGGTTCTCGAGTGGCAGCTTCGTACCGGTAGGCGTAGTGTAGGGCGACCCCACACTAGATGGAGTGACGACCTGGTAAGATATGCAGGAAGTCAATGGATTCAGGTGGCTCAGGACCGTGCTTTGTGTCATTACTTGGGGGAGGCCTATGTTCAGCAGTGGACTTGTGAAGGGCTTTAATGACGATGATGATAATGATGAGCAAAGTAACAGAGCAGTCGACGCGTGTTTGCAAGTTCGATTCACTCAATTCATGAGGTACCCATCGTTCAAGTTTTTTTACTTTCTCGATTTGCTTCAAGTGAATTAATACAGTTTTATCACTTACCCCGAAGCCTGCAGCTATCTCTGAAGTGCTTTGTGATGGACCCGCTTCCACAATAGCCTTTAATTCTTCATTTTTCACTTTGATCTCCGGCCGTCCAAAGGGTTGGTTCTGAAGGTCGAAATTTTCAGAACGAAAACGTTGAAACCAAAAACGTACCGTGCTTTCTTGCGACACCAGTGCCGTACACATCATTAATCCTTCGAGCTGTTTCTGCAGTACTGGTGCCACGGTAGAAATCGTACTCGTAAATATACCGATATTTCATGTTTTCCATTGTGTGGTAATAAGCGACGCCAAAGAAAAAAAATGAGGAAAAAAACAAATGAATGACTGTTTTCAAAACTCAAATGTATTAGCTAAATGAATTTATAAATTTGAGTTTGGAATTCTGAACCATAGAGGAGATATTTCAGATCAAAGTGGTTAGTACGACAAAACGCTAATTTCATATGTATGGACCCAATATTTGCAAAATCACTTACTCCTGGCCAAGGGTATTATTTCGAGAGATCACCTCTGTTTCTCAATGCATGAATTGAACAGTAGGATTACAGTAGGATATTCATTTTGAATATTCTACTGTTCAATTCAATTTTTATCGCTTTGGTTGAAATGGAACATAAATTTCAATATGGTAAAACACTTGTCGCCACTGTTATTATAAAAATCATTATACAATCATCAAATATACTTGCTTCAGCTTGTGAAGAATTAACAGTTGGATATTGGTTTCCGTTTTTCTTAATAAGCCAGAGCTTGCGACCAACCTAGTGGTAAGTGGCGTTGTTGATGAAAAATTATATAATCTGCATTGGCAAGAAATATTTGCCGGAATTGTAACTCTCAGTAGTATGACGGCGAAGAAACCTTCTCGACGGACAGCCTCGTACAAGTAATTGAAATCTAGGGCGACCTCCCCGACTATATGGAGTAGTAAACTGGTAACAATGCAGGAAATTGATGAATGCAGGTGGCTGAGGATCGTGCTTTGGCATTCTTTGAGGAAGGCCTTATTTCATCAGTGGATTTGAGAAAGGCTGTAATAATGATGATGGTAATAATTATATTTATACTATACCTAATATTTTAATCATCTTGATCATTTAAATTACAACCATTCGGAAATCCAATGATAAAAATGGCTTGGCCTAAGGAACAGATAATATTATAAATTGTACTGTAGGCACTCATATAATATAGCACTAGATATTTAAGATTTAAAGCACAGCTATATACACGAAGCTTATATTAAACACATAAGTATAAAGTGTTATTAAGGGGATAGAGTAAGTCAGCTCAAATTCTAATTTCGTCCCCACTTTCCCGCGCGTCGTATGCTATGTACCGACATGTTTGTTATCACTAATACTGTAAGTAGAAAGGTTGTTAGATACTTATTTCATTAGGGTTATCATATTTATGCCTGTTTCTTAACGCCAAGCCAGTCGCTTCTTATTTTTATTACGGTTATTTCCCATTTTAATTTTACGTCGTCCTGTTGCGTAATGTATATTCTGATCGCAAACGACAAAACCTTCCCGTTGAAAGGCCGAAGCGAAGTGACCGTACGGCAGGAATCACGCCTTAAAAGGCCGATAGTTTAGGTCATTTCTTTTTACAGTGAAAATAACGGTATTTTAAAAAAAGTAAATAACATAAGCACTGCTTTATAGTTGGTTCAGTTAGTATGCAAAGTTTCATGATCTTATTTAAAGTATTTTATGTATAACAGCGGTTTATTATTTATTTTGGAGGTAACTTTGGATTTTTTTTCTATCGAGAAAATTTTACGAAATCGTGTTTTCATCTAACATAATCCTTAACATTAATCCTCAACTTTACCATATATTTATTTCTAATTAATGCTGCAATATTTTTGGCATAACGAAGGATCTTGCTAAGCCATTTGAGATTATATTTCCCCTTAAGTGTAAATTTGACTAACTTTAGCTACACAACAGTTTTATGTATGTTTTATTTACGTTTTATTTGACTGTAAAATACAAATAGTTCGATTTATAAAGCATTACTTTGATACCACTTATATAAAATTTTTACTTTTTTGTAGATCTATTATAAAAATGACACCGAAGCAAGAGCATCATAATCAAACCTTCACATGTCAAGCGCAGAACACCGCAGACAGGGCGTACCGAGCTGCCAGTATACAAATAGAGGTGGGTAAAAAGTATCTGCCCTTCTTTTTACCGACTTTGAATAGAGGTTTTATAATTATTATGTGAATTTTTCTTCAATTTTTTTATCGTGGCATTGGACAGACGAGACTGACTAAAGATAATTGGGGGATTGATTTTTATACAAAAAATGTCAGAATCATATCAAACAGACTGAAGCTGGACAGTAGTGAAACTAATGCTACGTACGGTATTCACTTTCGGTTCTTTAATCGACTTACTCAATTTCGTCAATATTAAAAACATGTTTGTAAAATGTGAAATAGCAGTTCAATGCTGCTGTATTTTTTATTTTTTGGTGTAAAGAGCTGAAGAACCTTTTTTTTTTTTTTGGTAACGAAACTTTTTATCTCAGTTGGACGTTAGTTGACGTTAGGTAGACTGTGTGCACGATTGTTACTCTTATTGTATAAAAAAAATACGAATGGTTATAATTTTGAATATATATTAATGAAGTGTGTATAGAATATATTATTACTATTCCTGCAGCCACTTCGGGCTATGAAGACTATTGTAATATTATAACCCAATTTTCCATTATTCACCATTTTTTATTTTTAATATTATTTTATTTTTTGTAACAAACATTTTTTATATAAAATAAGGGTGACAAACGAGCACACAGTCCATTTGATGGTAAGTGGATGCTGTGGCCCTTAGATATATACATCTTTCCTTGATTAAGAATCAAAATGAAATGAATGTCTCGTTTCCAGTAAAAAGGATCTCCAGTTTACTATACTCACCATACGAAACACAGCAGAGCCGCTATTTCACGCTGATATTCAGCGAGAGCGTGGTCCTTCCCCGGTCAACCAATTCGTGCTACAACTATATAGATGCAGCATGGCTCTACCACGTATGATTACTATATTTTTTTAGATTTACTTATTATCTCCTTTCAAAACCACTGCATCAAATACTAAATACCGTACCATGTAAGATAATTTATTTATAACCTACATTATATCATAAACACATACGCTTCGAATAAAATACAGATCCACAAGGTAAGAGCTGGTTAGCGATCATAAACACAAACATAATGTGTTGTATTCAGATAATTAAGTTATTAACTTTGCTAAAATACAGGTAATAAAACTCAAAAGGCATGTATACTTGGAACTCCATAACATCTTAATGTTAAGTAAGGTTCATTTTTATAGACATGCCTGCTTCGAGAAAATTACAATAAGAGATATAATCACAGTATTAAAGTTAGCTACATTCGTTCCAATACTAGGCACAGGCATCTTCTTGTTACTGAGAGTGTTTTTGAGCTAGAAAGTGTCTGGTGCACTGCCCCGAAATGTCCACTTCACACGTTTTCGATTTTCTTTTAATTTTTATAGTTGGTTATACGTAATAGAGCCATTCTGCAGTTATATTAGAAGAATAGTTGTAGCATGAATGGGTTAACTCGACCGGGGAAGGACTACGTTCTCACAGATTACCAGCGTAAAATAGTAGCTTAATGCTACTGTGTTTCGTATGGTGGGTATAGAGAACCGGAGACCTTTTTTATGGGAAACGAGGCATCCCATCTTAGTTCTCGCGGCTGAAAACGCATCTGCATTTTGATTCGTAATCGTGGATAGGTGTCTATGGGCCACAGCAAACACTTACTATCAGGTAGACTGTGTGCTCTTTTGTCACCATATCCTATAAAAATAGTGTATAATTTAGCCTGCTGATGTTTTTCTTCACCCTCGAGCACGCAGTAAATCAAAGTGTAACATATTTTGTTCAATTTATACAGCTGAACTTAGACCATTCCCACAGATTGCCTCATAGAGCAACCGCAGTTTTTTTTATTAACTTTGAGTAGTGAACAGATTCAGATAGATTAAGATATATGCAGCTGCTCATATTCTGTATCAGTTACCCTGTGTCGCATCTTACGATACCCACGGAACGATATTAAGAAATTGCAATTCACAATTTAATTGGTGTCGGCAGGGATCTAAAGCGGGTTGCTCTTGTACTTAGAAAGGTGCATCGAGCGCATTGCCTCAGAGCTACAACAGTTCCAATTACGAGATTTGATTGCGCAAAATCGACATACATCACATAATTTAAAAATTTGCCATGCTTCGAAATGGTTAACCAGCCACACGCGACAAAAATAAATTTATAATAAATATAAAATATAAAAGAGATTAATGGTTTAAAATAAAAAAAAAGATAAAAACATTTTTTTTGAGAAAAAAATTTTTATTTTTTTCCTTCACCAAATAAAAAAAAAAAAAAAAAAAAAAATTTTTTGGTTTAAAAAAAAAAAAAAAAAAAAAAAAAAAACGGGATTTCTACATAACACAAAAAGAAAAAATTAAAAACAAAAAAAAAAAAAAAAAACAAAAAACGCACGAATTTTTTTATATTTTAGGTTTTTAGAAAAAAAGATTTGTTTATTATAAATTTTATATTTAAGATAAAACCAGACCGAGTTCATCACACTTTCAACCAGATTCACCACGTGTACCGCATTGCAGGAAAACTAAGTAAGGAGACCTGTTTATCTATAAAAACTCAATTATTTCGAAGACGTGATGAGAAATCTGGTAATACGTATTAGGGGAGTGCGGTAAACATTTTTTTGTTCCGAGAAATTTCTAGAAATTTGAATACACTTGTACCAAACTGTGGGAAAAATATAGGTGTTACTTTAAGCAATATTTTTTAACTTTCTATTTAAAAATAACTCTTATAATACAATGTTTCAAAAGGTAAGTTAAAATAAATACATTAAAATTTTGAACAAATGTCGAATACATTTCAATGTATTATTAAATAACCGAAAGTGTATATGGAATTATAGCATCATTTTCGTGAGGAAAGTACTCTAGAACCGGCTCCTCATTACTGTCACATCCCACGCCAGTAGACTATGGACTTATGACATCGTTAGCGGATGGTATATCAGTGCAAATTGTTCCATTTTACGTCTCGTTGCTTGGCAAAGGTCTTTGTTAGGGAGGCTGACTTGTATCGTTAAGGCACGTCATACTTTGGGTTTTGTACCACCCTTCCTTTCTGATTAAATTTCTCACCGTTTTCATGAAAGCCTGGATTTAAATTTAAAAAAAAAGTATTTGTTCCTTTTATTTTTAGCCTTTGTAGCATGCCATGGTGCACGTTTTCTTATTTTAGCAATTGTTAATTCATACTGGCAGTATATATAATTAATTTATAAAATCTGTTTACTATCAGATAAAGTTTGTTCATTAAGCCAATAAACATATTATGATTATGTGTGTATAAAATAATATAAAACGTAGTTATAAAATAAAAATACTTTGAACTTGTTATGAGTTTTTATTAATTTCTATTTTACATTAAAAATATATAATGTCTTACTTTTGCATCAATATCAAATTTCTACTACTTTTTAATTTAGTTTTGAACTAGAATCTGTTTCACGTAAGAAGTCCAGCGGTCAAATGTAAATTTAAATGTAAATTATGGAGTTTGACAAAAAATATCAAATTTCGAGTTTGTGGTGACGTAGCCTGATGTTGGTGGGATGATGATTTTAAATAATAATAATAATAAATATCTTTATCGAAACTACATTAGAAAATGTTAATATTTTGATTTAACACTTTTATACGTGGTGTGTGTGTGTGTGTGTGTGTGTGTGTGTGTGTGTGTGTGTGTGTGTGTGCGTGTGTGCGTGTGCGTGTGTGCGTGTGCGTGTGCGTGTGCGTGTGCGTGTGCGTGTGCGTGTGGTGTGCGTGTGCGTGTGCGTGTGCGTGTTCGTGTGCGTGTGCGTGCGCGTGTTTGCGTATGTGTGTGTGTGTGTGTGTGATGTGTGTATATGTGTGTTATGATTATTATATATTGTTTCGCGCCTAAGTTGACGTCGGGCACTAGCGCCATCTGTGTCGGGTAACGGAGCGAGGAGAGCTTTCCAGAAAATCACATCACTAATCTCTCAACGTAATATATCAAAGTAATCTCTCAAAGGTACCTAGCAAAAGTTGTAGACAATCGGCAACGAGATTGGGACAAGCACATACAACCGTTTTTGTTGTCATATCGAAGCGCTGTTCACGAAAGTACAGCAGTGACACCAGCTTTCGCAATATTTGGAAGAGAATTACGGCTGCCTGCAGACCTGATCACCAGGATACCACCTGATGCCCCATGCAGTATAACCGATTATGCAAATGACTTGCGGAACAAAATGAATGACATGGCAGCAAAGGGAAATCTCCTAAGCTTCAAGCTAAATGGGACGGCCCGTACCGGATTGTAACCAGGATCAACGATGTAACCTACCGGATACAGAAAGGCGCAAGAGGGACTCCTAAGATCATCCATGTGGATCGCCTGGCGTGTTATTATGGGGCAGATAATGCTCGGGACGGGCATGTCTTAGGAGGGGGGCAGTGTTGCGCGCCTAAGTTGACGTCTGGCACTAGCGCCATCTGTGTCGTGTAACGGAGCGAGGAGAGCTTTCCAGAAAATGATATCAAAATCCCTCAACCAACAGCGCCATCTAGTATCGAAACGAATAACTAAGCTTCTAGAAGCCCGACACTCGAACTTTCGGTACCTAGTCTATTAGCGCGCGTATTTACTTGAATATTCTGGATGTTTCGGCGATAATGCGCATTTAAAGGCGCTGCAAGATGCGAGCGAGGAAGTATTGATTTTGGCGAGACAAGCGAAGCTTCGGAGCGAAATAAAGTGAATCAGTGTGGTTAGTTATTAGGGTTCTAAGTTTTAATTAGTGTAAAGTGAATTAAAGAGTTAATTTTGGTAATTCAATCGGCAGTTTTTATTGTCACGAACCTCAAGCTCGTAACAATATTTATCATTGAGTTTCGGAATTTTAGAAGAGTCTTTGTCACGAAATACGTCCCTAAGCAGCTACGCCACAGTAGGACACAGATTTGGACTTTTAATTTTTTTTATGCTTTTGACTCGATTTCTGTATTGTAGCAGACTGTTCTGTTGTATAAAATATTTTTGAAGCA